GAATTGCGATGTATATAAAGTCAGATTTGAGTGATATAAAGTCAGAATTGTGAGATAAAAACTATTCTGAGGGGAAAAGTTTTCTTCCCCTTAGAATTGGCCTGGTAACTCGCAATTCAATTTTTAGAAAAGATGTCAAAGTTTTGAGATTTAAACTCGCAATTGTGAGAAAAAAATTCAGACCTGAGATGAAAAAGTCGCAATTCTGTCTTTTTTTTTCTCTCACAATTGCGACTTTTTTTCTCAGACTTGCAACTTTAATTCTCAGAATTGCGACTTTATTCCTCACTATTCTGACTTCATATCTCGCAATTGTGAGATAAAAAGTCGCAATTATTTATTTATTTATTTTTTATTCAGTGGCAGAAACAAGATTCCATAGATTTGTAAAACTAAAAGTTTAAAGTTGTAGAAAAACAAAAACTTTGTGGCAAACAAACAATTGTCTAAAAAAAAGAAAGAAAGAAAATAGACATGACATTACCACTCTAACCAGTTGATGGCGGCAGAAGAGCACTTATCAACTTGACTTATTATAAAACAAGAGTAGAATAGTTCAATTATCCCTATAAAATGTGCTTTTTGCATGTTACTGTTGTTCATAGATGTTAATAAAAGTTGCTACTGCTCTCAAATGTAAGTCTGGAGCCCTGAGCGTACACGTTTAGCCCAAATAGGAATTACATTTTGTCTAATAATGGCACATAAAAGCACCATGAATGCATGTTATGCAATCAAATGAGTAAAATGAATATAAACGTTTGTTCTTAGATGTGGTGGAGATTCTGCTGAGTCAGCCAAACTGTGAGCTCAACCAGCAGGTACGTCTAATGTTGGGTAAAACGTGGGTCAAATATGGACAAACTCAAACATTGGGTTAAAAATGTAATTTAAAAATGTAACCCAATGGCTGGGTTTGTCCATATTTGACCCAAATTTGGGTTAAAACAACCCAGCATTTTTTAGAGTGTGTTTTTGAGATCATAGTCGTTCCATTAGAATTTTTTGAAATGCAAAATGAGATCAGCTTACATGCAAAAAAAATGTTTTTTTTCGGGAATGGAATAAATTTTTAATGTTCTTTATGTTTGACTCGATGTATTAAAATGACGTGTTCATTTCCACAACAGAATAAACTGGGAGACACGGCTCTACACGCAGCTGCCTGGAAGGGTTATTCAGACATAGTTGAGATGTTGCTCAATAAAAGTAAGTAAATACGATTTTCCTCATAAACCCATTTGTTTTCTTACACATATTTTTGTGGTATGAAAAGGTTTGTAAAGTCGTACTACATGTGATCTAGATTTGTCGCGACACGTTTGCGATGCTTTTTTTTTTTCTATCTGCAGCTGCATGTTCAATATTGTTTATATTGCGTCTGTGTTCATATTGTAGATGCCGGGACAGATGTCCTCAACAACGAGAAAAAGACAGCTCTGGAAATGGCCACCAATGCACAATGTGCCTCTCTGCTGAAGAGGAAACTAGGAGGAGGTGAGTCAAAAGGCGTCTCCTTTCAGTTACCTCCTTAAAATATCACTTCCTGTGAGAAAGATTCACACAATTGTCTTTTCTGTTGCATTTACAGTGATTCTGCGCACCCACAGTAATGCAGAGGAGTATCTCGACGATGAAGACTCCGACTGAGAGAAAAGCAGCACTAATGAAGCACAAACCATCACATGTATATAGTTCAGATATCTGTGCGAGAAACATTACTTACAAAGGTTGGGAGGATATGAAAGCTGTTTGCTGTTGTCTGATTGTCTCAACTTTCTTCTTTATTCCAGTTCATTGTTAAAAGTATTGCAGTACTTGTCTGTTCAGTACACGTTCAGGATGGATGGACACAGTGAACATTAGTTCTTCTATTTGCTGCTCCTCTCTTGACTGTATTTATTCTGTAAAACTGTCTTTATGATTTTAAAGTGCCTTCTTTAATAGGGTGATCACCCAGAACATCTCAAAGCCCTGGGTCTTTTTATTCGAATAGTTTTATGCACGTGTATGTGGGTGAGCGTGTGTGCCCTTGGGCATTTTAACTTTTTAATTGTGTTGGTATGTATGTGTATCGAGATGTTCTTGATGATAGAGTGGCATGTAAATCCAAACATTACAACTATGCAAATAAATCAGTGGCCTTTGCTTGATGTGCAAGAATCAAGCTGGGAGCTCAAATGCATCAAGTTATTTGAAGGCGTCCTCTTTTGATCTTGTGTAGCCTTATTTTCGTAGGTTAAAAAAAGGGTAGTTGACCAGCTTATTTCAACATCAAGTTTTTTTGTTTTTTTTACAAGTTTAGATGATGCCATTTCTAAGTATTTCACCACTTTTAAAATAAAAATTATGCATACTATGGTAGAAAAAATGTTTAATCTTATTCTATAAATTGCATGACGACACTGAGGAAGTTGAATGATAACAAAAATGATTCATCAAAATTACAGATCTTTCTATATTTTTAAAATGTAAGCCTAATAGAAGACATGAAGTTCAACTACCCTCAAACCTAGTACCAATTAAAGTTATTCAGATACCTTAAAACCTAGTGTATTTTTGCTATGGTTCCTTTTACTAAAATAATAAATCGTTAAATTAGCTTATTGTAGGCAAGAGGTATTGTAGGTAAACCTCTCCCGTCCCACTCCCTCAAAAAAAAAAAAATTCCGGCAGTAGGGTTTGGGGTTCAGCGCCTGTAAATACATGCTTGTAGTTTGAATAAAGTGTTGTTTTAAATGTTTATGCATTTGTTTATTGTGGTGGTTACTTTTATTTGTTCTTTTACTCATTTATTCGTGTTTCTTATTGTTGTCAGTATTTAAAATAATTATTTAATGTGTGCATTAATTCATTGCTTGACTGACAATTGAGATGTTTCACTGCATTTATCAATATAAATGTATTCATGCATAACTATGTCGTCAAAGCAAATTACATTTTGCTTGTTTTATTAAATTATATCATTTTTAATATATAAAAAGTTATATAATTAAGTATTGGTCAGCATTTCATATTATTATTAGTTTTGGGGTGGCCTAACAATGCAATTCATTCTAAAGTAATATTAATGATTATTAGTGATACAGATACTAAATCACTAATAATCATATTGATTATTAGTGATACTTACATTTTTCGAGTATAAAATCAACAGTTTTTCTCCAAAGGAGAGATATTAGAGATAATAAACACAAAGGAAAACTGTTCTAGGTTGTGCTGTCGAGTTAAGATACTGATGATAATTGAAGCCTTAGTGCACCTGTTGCTCATTTAATTTAAACTTGTAAACTTAATTATTACAAACAAGATCATGGAAAGATACCATAGATGTATAACAGTCATAATGACAATTCAGAAAACATAAAGATAACTGGCTTGTGTAAATCATAATATGATATTTATACACTGGAAAAAAGAACAATAATATCTTTATTATTGTTGGCTAATATCTTTAAAAAGTTCTTCATAATACATACAAAAATGTTTTGATGTTATAAGTCGAGATATGAAACAAGGTAAATTCATCAAGAAAAAGAGGAAACTTAAAGGAGAAACTTTTTTGGGTATGAAATAAAGAAATTAACAACATATTCAAGAGATGACGATTTGGGGGTTCTGGGGTTTCTTAATACAAATATATATATATATATATATATATATATATATCAGCCACAGTGATTTTGTTTCCCGTGACCCGCGGGATTCCCGAAAAAATGTCAGCCTAGTAGTAAAACCATTCTCTGGTAAAACTGCTAACTTAGTAGTAGTAGCTAGGCTAATTAACGTTACTGATTTTTATGAACGTTTGTATTTGAGAGCAAAGTGCGATTCAGGGCAAAGAAATGTTACAAGCGCACAACTTAGATTATTAATCCACCTTAACCATCTTAATGTTAATAATCACTTTGATTTTTAAAGAAGAAATTGATATAATTTGTCGTGAAAACACCATGGAAAAGACTCACCTCAGGATACTCGCGCCATTTTGCTGTTGTTGCTCAGTGGAGACAACGCGTGAGCATTTAAAAATTAATTAGCAATTTACTTAAATAAAATTATTAGAAATTGTTGAAAATAACCTAACTATAAAATTCAACTGCCCAACTCTCACCGAAAATTAAAATGTTCTATATGAAATTATTTATGAAATAGGGAAGAATCGATTTGAACTAAAAGCTTGCACGAATTTCTTTACAAACCTATGGAGTTTTTAAAAACTTTACTACTGGTTGTTACATAATTACACTAACATTGGTGTTATTAAATAATTTTGATGGCTTTACTATTATTCGTGCAAGAATAGTAAAGAATGTAGGTGTCTCCAGTCTTTTGAATGGTTTTGTGAACTAGCAGGTCATTGACCCTGCTGACCTAAAAAAAAAAAAATCTATAACTGTTCAGTTATGCCTAGTCTTGTTACAAATTACAATTTACAAATTCAACAAGTTAGTTCTGAAATAATTAGCTGACTTTCCTTTTTGTTCTCTGCCAATCAACTGCTGAAAGTGCATTTTAGATTATGCTAATGACACAAGTTTTATCGTGTGATGTATTCAAGAATTTTTATATTAATTAACTACAGGCCTGAGCTCAGACATACAGTAATATTGAATACTGGCTTCAAATTTAACCATACGGTCAGGTGGCGAAACAGAGCCAGACAACAGGCAGTTGCTCTCAACATTTCACTACTTAAAATTCAACATCTGAATGTATCCTGTAAGCTAAGAAGGATGAGTATTACCCCTTAGCAAAAGCAATTTTTTCAATGATGAATGAATGCTCTTTAGCATACTATAAAATGCAATTCTGACCATTATAGTACATTTATGCTTTAGGCAAACACACTGCATTCTAGAAATAAATATCAGCTTAAATGCAGACAATATGAATTTATATACAACATGACTTTAATACCGATAGAAAACATTGCATTGAAGTCCTATTAACAGCTGACAAAATGTAAACAAATCACATTAATGAAAAAGAAGCATAAATCAGTCAATGAGATTTTGGTATTTATTCAATGCCTTGTACATTTGTCCATTTAAACCCCATGTTTTAAATACAATGTGCATGTCATCATTCAATTTAAAATAAAATATGACATCATCCTGAAGAAGAAAAACATTAAATTACTAAAACGGGAGGAAAAAGTTAAAGCTTTCGCCATCAATAATAATTCATAAGACTTTAATATATTTACTTGCATACAGTAGGAAATCAGATGAATGGAAAAGAGGAGAAAAGTCAATCACAAAATTATATAGAAAAAAAACATTGTAAGAAAAATCACACATTATGCCCGGTGGCAATAGGCACATTGTTGAACACCACATACTGGAGGAAATGGGCATCAGGGCCCACACTGGTATCTTTAAGAAGGCTTTTTATAAGAATAAAATAAGTATTATAACAGCAGAAGTGATTCGGTTCCACAGTTAAACTCTCATAAAGGCATAAGGATGGAAGTTAAAACCACTCCAGCCATCCAGAAGAACAGAAACAACCCATGAATATAAAAAATAGAAACGATCAACAACAAAAAAACAACAAAAAAAAGTAAAAGCACACTTTATAAAGTGATAAGACAGAGATATGCATGCACAATAGGGTCAGGGCTGAACAAACTCTCAAGTACCAAAAATTATAAAAATACACATTGAGATTTTGATGATTTCAAGCTGTTATTGCACCTTTAAGAAATGCCAATGGAGAAAAGTCGCTAAATAAAATAAAGTGTGCTGTTATCCTAGAAAGCAGCCTGAAATGTGCAAAGAGATGTGTACATAGTAATGTTCAAGTTAAGCTCAATGTGTGTGTAACAAGTACAAAAATAGATCTTGATTTGTCCGATGCAGTCGATAATATCGAAAATAGCTCCACGCGATTTAAAGACCTAGTCTCTGATAACATCTGGATCCAGGGGAAGCGTTTAAAAAGGCTGTTAAAAATCGTAATGGCCTCCCTGAAGATCTACACTTGTCTGACAGTGCTTTGGCACAGGAACAAGCTGGTGTAATGCTCACTATCACCACAAGATGACACAATATTAAAACTCGACCCGTGGGCCTGTGTGATGGAACGCGTTCAGGTTCTAGCTGAAGAGCTTGACGAAGCAGTTTTGGCAGTAGGGTTTGTCGTTCTGCTCTTTGAATGTGCCCTTGTTCAGCTGTTTCAGGCAGAAGGCGCAGACGAAATGCTCGGGGTGAAACTTCTTGCCCATGGCGGTGATGCAGCGGCCGGTAATGGGTTTCTGACAGCCGGAGCAGAGAGAGCCGCGGTGCTCGTGGTAATGAGCCTCACAGTACGGCTGCCCTTCGTGCTCGAAGAAACTACCGTTCACAAATGGAGTGAAACACTCCTGTGGAGGAGAGAGAGAAAACAGAAATCAGTCAGTTATACACAAATGACACATGCAGCAATATAGACACATCTGATGGCAAAATGAGCTAGTGTATAAATACAAAACACACAGAGAGCAACCTAAACAGCCACATTTTTATTTATATATAAACACACACACAGTGATGTGAATAAGTTTGGACACCCATGCTAAAGTTGCCTAAAGGGAGGAATAAAGGGAGGAAATTGATCTTAAAGGAGAAGTTCACTTTTTAGTTCACCCCCATGTCATCCAAGATGTCCATGTCTTTCTTTCTTCATTCGAAAAGAAATTAAAAAAATATTTTTAATAAATTAATTAAGTAAATAAATTAAGAATAAATAAAGTAGTAAATTAAGTTAAGAATAAATTAAACTAAGAAATTAAGAAAGTATTTTCTAAATTAAGAAATGAAGGTTTTTGATGAAAACATTCCAGGATTTTTCTTCATATAATGGACTTCAATGGGAACCAAACAATTCAAGGTCCAAATGAGAGTTTCAGTGCAAACATCCACATTTTTATTTATATATATATATATATACACACACACACACACACACACACACACACACACACACACACACACACACACACAGTGATGTGAATAAGTTTGGACACCCATGCTAAAGTTGCCTAAAGGGAGGAATAAAAAAAATAATCTTTTGGAAATTGATCTTAAAGGAGAAGTTCACTTTTTAGTTCACCCCCATGTCATCCAAGATGTCCATATCTTTCTTTCTTCATTCGAAAAGAAATTAAGAAATTATTTTTAATAAATAAAGTAAATAAATTAAGAATAAATAAATAAAGTAAATTAAATTAAGAATAAATTAAATTAAGAAATTATTTTCTAAATTAAGAAATTAAGGTTTTTGATGAAAACATTCCAGGGTTTTTCTCCATATAATGAACTTCAATGGGAACCAAACGGTTCAAGGTCCAAATGAGAGTTTCAGTGCAAACTGTTCATAGGGCTTTAAAGGTGCCATCTACCATAATAAATCAAATCCTACTCCATATTCCATAACAGATGGGGGCAGTATACCTCCAAAAAATGACTTGTGCTCCTACCATCGCGCATGTTATTCAAATCATTTGACATGATAGTAAAAGGTTGGAAGACCGCAGTTTCACGTGGAACATTTGGAGATTTTTAGAGATCAGAGACTCAATGAACTAAACACTAGAGTGAACTAAATTAAACACTATGAATCTCAACACTAAATGATGAAGACCGCCTCATAGATCTCAAAAACAAGCTGATGCATTTCGACGGTATGGGAAAATAAAAGCTTGGGCAATTATTTGAAGTTTATGGTATTCGTTTTGTTCATATTACACTTTTATTGTTAGTGAATTAATTTGACAGACAGCATTCGCTGATGTTGATCAAGCTAGCGCCGTGAATTCACCGTGAGACACACGCAATTGACACTTAGCAAGCAGGTTAGTTAAGCTCTCAGATTCGGTCAATTATATTACGCAATTCAAAGAATAAATACCGTTTTGGCGCTTGTACATGTTACACTACAGATCCCTAGCGCACGTGAACCGATCGTCTCTACTAGCTGGAAAAAGAACATGAACTCTGTTGAAAGATACAGTATGCTACAACTTACCAAAATGTATTCCTCATGCATAATGTCGACCAATCATTTTTTGAACTCTTCCCTGAACTGAAATGTAGTAGTGGGCTTTATTTCCACACGACTGACATCAGGTTCAAGTACACACACACACACACACACAAGCCGGCGCGAGCGCGACTCACTCGTCTATTGCAGTTTGGCTGGTGCTAACGTTGCCCGTCCGCATACCGCCTCCCATGGCCGGAACTGGTATTACGATACCTGCCGGGCCGGGGCTAGTAATTTAGCATGCTAATTCAGGTTAATATCTCGGCAGCACTATAACTTGTCAGTTTTTTAATGACATCTTTGCACTTATTTCTTCTCATTCTTTTGATGCGTGTAGCTCATTTTTCGTATATTGTTACCTCAATTATTACATATGCCACCTTTAAACGATTCCAGACGATGAATAAGGGTCTTATCAAGCGAAACGGCCTAGCTGATATAATCGCCCTATGTATACACACTCAGTGGCCTCAATCAATTGCATGCTTATACAGACACCCCACACACACACACACTGACCCTGCAGACAAAACACTCTGGGTGCCAGAGAGAGTTGAGGGCCGAAATGTAGTTCTCCAGGATAGCACGGGCACAGCCGCCACATTTAGGGGCAAACATGTCAAAGTAGTCCTTCCTACAGTAAGCCTTTCCCTCCTTCTCATGGAAACCTGCAGGAAATAGAGACAAATGGAAAAAGCCAAAGGCTTAAAACCTTTTTAAGTAAAAAAATAGCTTGGTAGAAAAAAAGGAAAGGACAGCTAAAGAGAAGAAAAGAGGTTGAACTTGAGAAGAGTTGAATCAGCTTACCCTCAGGCCCAAAGAATGACCCACACTGGGCACAAAAGAAATGCTCTGGATGCCAAGTCTTGTCTAATGCGGTCACCACCCTCTGCAAATGTACAATTCATTACAATGAACTGATGGCGAAACAAGGACAGAGAGCAAAATGTAATCAATGAATGTATGCAAAATTTAAAGAAAAAACAAAGAATAAGACAATTATTAAAAATATTGTTCATTTCCCACTACATAAACATGTGTACTGCTTTAGAAATGTAAACCAATCCTAACTACATGCAAAACTAAATATAGATATATTGAAAACAAAGATCCATTATGGAGAATATTGTGCCAATGTGTATATTTATCAATGTTATCATATAAACGTACAGTCAAAAGTGAGTTAATTCAGTAATTCATGACTAATTCAAACATATAATTTTCAACCGACTCAAATTTGCATGCAGCCAACAAATACATAGAATTCAAAATGAAATAAAATAAAATTACAATTTGTGTATTTATTGCCTTCGTATTATGCTATGGAATACAATTTTGTATCTTGTTTTAAATGGATAGTTCACTTTGAAATTAAGTTTTGGTATGTTTTATCTTACCTCAAGGGCATCCAAGATGTAGGTGTCTTTGTTTCCGCAGTATTTTCAATTTTGAGATTTTTAGGTCAAACCGTTCTTGTCTGTCAGTCTTATAATGGAGGTCTATGGTCACCACCTCAAAGAGCATGCACAGAGAAGTCCAAATTAAACATGATTTAATGACTCATAAATGTAAGTACACATTGATGGCCTAAGACACGAAACGAGCGGTTTGTGTGAGAAAACGAACAGTATTTATATCGCTCTTGTAACCACAGCCACTTCTCGCTCGTGTACGTCACTCATTGTTTAGACAGAGATTACAGAAGTGTTACCTTTCACTGTGAATATCTAAATATATTTATAGATACAGGAAATCGCAATGGAAGACGATTTCGATACATCAACAGACAACGTTGAATTTTTTTGCCCGCGGCCTCAGATCACTTGGACGTGGCTGTGGTTACAAGAGGTAAAAACGATATAAATACTGTTAGTTTTCTCACACAAACCGCTCGTTTCGTGTCTTAGTCCATCAATGTGTACTTACATTTACGAGTCATTAAATCATGTTTAATTTGGACTTCTCTGTGCATGCTCTTTGAGGTGGTGACCATAGACCTCCATTATATCAAAAATATTTAAAATTGAAACTACTGCAGAAACAAAGACACCTACATCTTGGATGCCCTTGAGGTAAGCTAAAACATACCAAAAATTAATTTCAAAGTGAAATATCCCTTTAAGGATGCCTAGTCATTTTATTCAAAAACACTATCTATGTGTTGAGTTTGACTGCAGAGACCGATTTAGACCGTATTTAAGTGACTGTTTATGTTTACAGGAAACCTGAAGCCAAAGGTAAAGTGTGAGCTGCTATAGTAAGCACCATCCCGACTGGGTGGTGACACATGACACACACACAGGCCTGTGAATGCCCCGTTTGTGGTGATAGGCAGCATAATCCTCCTTACGTCCAGAATGGGTCCATTGCAGTAGTAACAGCGTGGAGAGAAGAGGCTGTGGTAGTCCTTTTCACAGTACGGCTGGCCGTCTCGCTCAAAGAAGTTTTTGGAGCCTATTTCCTCCTGACAGTGAGTACACACGAAATGTTCTGGATGCCACGTCCGACCCATTGCTGTCACCACCTGAATGAATCAAAGAAAACGAGGATGGAAGTGTTCCGCTTCACAAAAGACATAACTGAATACCAGTGTATCATGATCCAAGCTACACAATTTGGGAATTATTACGATTTTTTAAATGATCTTAAAAGTTTGCATTTGTTTGATTAAAAATACAGTGAAAACATAGCCTGGTTGATATGGGATCAAAATCCCTCCAAATGTATCAAAAAATAATAAGCGTGATTCAAAAATGTAAAAATATATTGCACAAACTGAAAAAAATAAAAATAATGCGAAATGATCAAAAAAGCAAAGAACGTGGTCATGGATCAAAATATAATAATTTTAATGAAAACATTCCAGGATTTCTCTCCATATAATGGACTTCAATGGGAACCAAACGGTTCAAGGTCCAAATGAGAGTTTCAGTGCAGCTTCAAAGGGCTTTAAACGACACCAGACGATGAATAAGGGTCTTATCAAGCGAAACGAATTGTCATTTCAAAAATAAATAAAAAACTTCAAGTTTTATAAGCTCAAATGCTCACCTTGCTCTGTTCTGTGATGCGCGTTCGTGACTCTCCTGTTCAAACTCGTTCATCAAAATGAACGAATCTTTTTTTGAGTTCATTGAATGAACCAAATGACTCAAAAACAAATTTGTTCATTTTGATGCACTGAAACCGTCTTTTGGACCTTAAACCGTTTGGTTCCCATTGAAGTCCATTATATGGAGAAAAATCCTGGAATGTTTTCATCAAAAACCTTAATTTCTTTTCGACTGAAGAAAGAAAGACATGGACATCTCGGATGACATGGGGGTGAGCAAATTATCAGCAAAAGTTTTTTTAAAAGTGAACTACTCCTTTAAGTTTATAATTTTTCTTGCTTATTATTTTTTGATCCATGCCCGCAATACATTGGGCGGGATTTTGATCCCATAGGTTGACACCAGACCCTTTTCAGTCGTAACTGAGAGTGGGTTCATTCACAACCTCGATTTGGAAAAATGGGAAATGAGCTTGGGCAGACTGACTTGCAGAGCAAATCTCAAATTTGCCCGGAAGTTCGTCTGGGTTTTCCCGCAAACACAGTCATATTTGTAAGAATATTTCACAATATTACATGCATTTTTGATAATAAATGTAGCCTTAGTGAGCATCAGAGAAAAACATTTTTAAAAAATCTGAAATCTCCAAGCTTTATAAACAGGAGTTGGACAATGAAACTGAAACTGGTTTTACAACACAATAATTTGTTAGAATGGTGAGGGCCTTATTTTGCATCCAAACACAGCACCAATTGACAGATAGAAGTCCTTCACAGTGACCAGAGGGATTATGAGCCGTTCCTCTTCCAGAACAGTGTCCAGGTCACTATATGATGCTGGTGGACTCGCTCCTCCAAAACTCCTCAATAATATTCAGATCTGGTGACTGTCAGACCATGGGAGATGTTCAACGTCACTTTCATCTTCATCAAACCCTTCTGTCACAAGTCTTGCTGTGTGTGTTGGTGCATGATCATGAGCATCAGGTGCTCATGATCCTCCAGAAGGGTTTGGTAGTCCTCGGCAGTGTCGTGTCCATCAAATACAATCAGGATTGTCATGATATTGGAGCTCAAACCATCACTGATCCACCCGTGCTTCACTCTGAAGATTGGCCGCCAGGCATATAGATGTGAAACCTCCAATATTGGCCAGTGTTTCAGTTTCATTGTCCAACCCCTGTACATACTCTACACACACACTGACATAATAATCAACCTTTGGTGGTATTTTGGGTTTGTTTTGAAACAGAGCTTCTGCACTAAGGCATAATATCCCAAAAACCCAAATGAAATGTGAGGATAATGATTTGGGCAGTAAATGAGCTCTTCCGCAGATCTCTTACCTGGCCAGCGATTGGTTTCTTGCAGGCTCCACAAACGCCTTTGGCTACAGTCTGGACACCCAGGCGGTTGAGGTCTGACTGCAGGCTGCCCAACATGTTATCCAGTTTATTCCCCTGCTTCGGGACACTGGTGGGGGAACTCTTGCCCTGAGCCATAATCTACAGCAAAAAGAAAATATTTTTCATGTTTTAAAGTCTGCTTTCATAAAGCACAGAAAATGTGGATGCAAAATCCCACTCTGCAGACGCAGACACGAAACAAGCACTTTCTACTTGGTAGTTGGTACACATAACTAATTACTAGCAATTAATCATTTAGCAAATGCATTCATCCAAAGCTTTTTACCAGGTCAATCTCACTGGAGTAACAGGAGATTTAGTGCCTTGATCAATGGCAAAATGTTGATAATTCATGGCTAAATGCATGCAGGATTTGCAGCACACTGACACTTGACTTGTTTTGGAGAAGTGCAATATAAATGTCCCCTTATATGGACTGGAGTGTAGTTTCTCAACAACTGATGATCAACTTTGTACCACGAGACGAGTATGCTCAAGAAATTTTCTCAGTATAACCATCGCCACTTGAAAAGGCTATTTTCAAACTCCTAAAGCATGTACATCAAGAGCTTCTTCCTTCAAACAAACAGGACTGGAGATGTTGAATTACACACATTTACTTGCATCATTTATTAATCAATCCATTACAGGATGTTAGTGGTTTTTAAACTACACAATTCACAACTCTTAAAGTAGTTCACTGACTTCACAGCGATGCATGCAATGGAAATGTTTACCGCATTCGTCTTATTTCACACACTTAGAAATAGCAAGCAGAGACACATGATCCTGCACAAACATGCAATAATTATTATATTTAAACACCAAATCTGGTTAGATATTATGCAACATTTGCAATTTTGAAATGGAAAGGTCTGTTTTACTAATCTAAGGAAATCAATCTCATGCTCCCTCCCTGCGTAACCTTCCCTAAATACAACAGGACCAAGAAGGTGTTAAATACATAATCAGATGACAGACCAAACAAGGCTACGGGTCAAGAAGTTCTGGTGTAACAGTAACCCCATCTCTGCGCTCTCAGTTCAAAGAACCGTGACACAGAAGCATTATTCACAAAGCAAAATTAGCAACCTATTAACCCTGTTATTTCTGCTTATGATCTCACACATAAACAAGCTAGTCCTGGAGTCACAAATCCACCAAAAAAATCACTTTACTTCCAGATACACATCCCGAAAACCTCAAGATTTCCATAGTTATACTTAGATATAGAGCCTGACCGATAAACGGTTTTGAAGGCCGATACCGATACAAATATTTTTGTGTTTTAAAATCCGATATATCGGCCGTTTTTTTTTTATTTTTATTAAATATTGTTGGATTTAACACACGTGTAAAAGAAAAGCAAACTTTTCTGCACAAGATACGTTTGATGCTTTTTCTCTATGTCTAAATGTTCACTCCTCGCAAGTATAACTTACATTTTACAATGCAGGGACTGTAACTAGAGATATGCTAGTTATAAATACAGTAATCATTACTTTATTTAGGCAGAAAAAGTTCACTGTGGTTTCCAAGCTCATTAATGTTAACGTTAGCGGTCCTCCACTGATGATTAGCTAGCTTTGTGGTTAGCTAGTCTATGATGAGCCATAATTTAGCAATAGATAACATTGTAAAACATACATTTTCAATATAACAGGCCAAGGAGAGATGATTGAAGCGTGTTTCGTCCGTTTTTATTTTATTTTTGAAATATTCATTTATCGGCCATTATAACTGCCGATACCGATATTTTGGAAAATGCCTAATATCGGCCGGCCGATATATCAGTCTGGCTCTACTTAGATATTCAATAAATTGATTGTCGGAAATTAAAATGAACCCCAACCATAATAAACACCCGTTGGCGTTTGTCCTTCCACTACATCAAACCGCAAAATAAATATCTTCACCAAGCAGGACTCCAAATGTTGGATAATCTCCAAACATCATCCATAATCCTGTCGTTTTCCTCGTCATCATCTTTTTTTTTTATTCTTTTGCATTCGGTGTCAAAGATTTTAACCAACTTTTCCCTGAATTATTTTTGTTCTCTACTTTTTTTTCCAGCCAATAATTGCCTTGCAGGCCCTATATTGGTCATTTACTTGGTAGTTTTCTATTACTAGTAATGATTACAGCAAATAGGCAGAATAATAATAATCTTCGTTAATCTAATGCAGCCAACCAACTCAGTGAAGTTTCAGGTTGTAGTACTGCAAGATGGCGGCACACTTGATACAAACGATATACTAAAAAATAGCCATGTTATATAATTTCTTTTATTAGAGTGGAAATCCATTTACTAAATATTGTTAACTTGCACCTGTAATTGATAACCAACTTCGGTGGCAACAGAATCTGCTCACGTACCAGGAATTCAGAGGAAAGAAAAGGGTAAATAGACTGTCTTCATGGGACATGTTGACACCAGCAAACTATTTAATAAATGCTGAGACACTCCTAGTGTGAGCTGCACATAACAGCAAATGCTCAATAAGCAACATTCAAGAAACCATGAAAGAATGGATAGAAAAGGCAAGGGGACCCCACAATTCATTTATCGAAATGTTTTTCATGAGCTTTCCAGTAGATTGCGATTACTGGGTAGGAATGATTCACATTTACACTCATATTGATTCACTAAAGATTCATTCAGACTGATTTGTTCAACAGATTAACCTGAATCCAGTCATTCATTTAGGTCTCTCCCAAGGTGTTCTCCACTACGGTGACCAGTTTGTTTGCTCAGGTGGGGTTTAAAAACGGTTCATATTCAGTAATATTATTGATTTAACTCCACCGACACTATATATGAGAATGAAATTGGAACTGAACAACTTTGCACCATCAACAATGTTAATAAACTGAAGTGACTTGATCGAAATAATGACACTATTGGTCTCTTTACACCTGAAATTGAATTCATTTAATAATTAATTAACATTTTCCTGTTAAGATGCTTCGACGCAATCTGTATTGTGTAGCTCAAACATTTGTTGTGTTCGTTCTTCCGGTTTGTATTTCCATAGCATAAAGGTAAGATCTTACAGATTTATGAATAAACTGCCCGTTTTAAAATCTTCCCAGTCTACTGATGTTTATTACGACATCCGCTTCAAACATTACAATGCTCATGATAACTTCCATTAACTCTACAATAAGTAAATTCACTTCACCAGCTACTCTTTGGCAGAGATGCTATAGAAATATACAGAGCTACCGCAAAACTGCAATTCGAACATAAAATACTAAAGATGGCTGTGCAATTGTCTATAAAGTTCTATACAAATAAATGTGACTTGAAAGATTTACACAATGGCTTCCCAGACAGCAAACTGACATTGAATCAACGTGGAAACGACGTCTCTCATGACATTGAAACAACGTTGATTTTGCTCATCGAATTAACGTTGAACCAACGTCAGACGCGGCATTCTTCAAAGCTAAATGAAAATCGAAAATTGGTTTGCTTTCATAACGTTGAAACAACGCGTTGATTTCAAGTTGATTTTCCGTTAGTTTTGAAAGAATGACGCGTCTGACGTTGGTTCAACGTTAATTCGATGAGCAAAACAATGTCAGATCAACGTTGTTTCGATGTCATATTTCCACGTTGATTCAATGTCAGTTTGCTATCTGGGTTGCGAACCAGTTTTACTCAACAACAACTCTATATACAGTCAACCAGTTTCCTATGACTTCTTATTAATATCCATGAGTTTTCCACTTTTGCCAAACAAATTCCCTGATATTTCCATGCTTTTCAAGACAAAAGTGCAAGCTCGGATCAAATGCAGATAAACGAAGAGAGCAAGTTCATGCCTGTACCGGTGGAAAAAGAGGTTCATATTCTGTTTGGCAGCCCACAGATGATAACACCTTTGGTGGAGGGGATGGAGGAGGGGTGGGCTCTTTAGGTGGAGTCGGAAATGGAGGAGGAGGAGGAGGAGGAGGGGGAGGAGGAGGAGGAGGAGGAGAGGGCTCTCTAGGAGGTGGAGGTGGTGGGGGGAGAGGAGCGGGCATCTGTACCACAGCCACTGGCTTTTTTGGTACAGGATGGGTTAGGACTTTTTTCGGAGGACAGGGCAAGTCTGGAGGAATGATGATCTGATGGACAAAGAAATGTGATACACAAAACGCAAAAATGCATAATATTGTGTAACAGTCGGGTTCCAGAAGTAAAAATCTATCTCTATATATATATATATATATATGAAGAGTTCAGATGCAAAAGCCTCTAAGTGTCATTTGAAATTTTCTTCTAAAATGATCATTTTTATCAAGCTTGTATATTTAAGTTCAGTAATTTCACTTAAATGGCAATGAAGATTAACTAGTAATTGTCATTTAAGTGAAATTACTGAACTTAAATATACAAGCTTGATAAAAATGATCATTTTAGAAGAAAATTTCAAATGACACTTAGAGGCTTTTGCATCTGAACTCTTCATATATATATATATATATATATGAATTTTAGTATTCCTATATATATAGGATTTTAGTCTTCGATATATAGGATTTTCTATATAGGATTTAGTTGTTTTTTTTACAATAACTTAAGGCCCGTACACACTGGGACGAATATCAGTGCGTGTTATTCGCCAGCGTTATTCGTCAGCGTTTTTCAATGCGTTTTTTGTGTTCACATCCAATCGATTTTCGCTGACGATGAGCCGAGTGAACATGCAAATTCATTTCCTGACATTAGATGGCGAATTTGCTCTGCAATACCACTCCATAACAGTTCTCTTTTATCAGAGCCCGTCTAACGGAGAGCCTTGGCACTTCCTATTAGCCCCGTTGTGTATCATCCGGGTTGCAGTTCCATTAGAATTCCACTGGAGGTGATCGCGGGCGAGAGCAGAATGAATGGGAGTCTATGGGGCTAAACGGCTAAATGTGTCTCTTTCACCTGCTTGTCATTAAATTAACATAGATTTTATTGTTGATTCCGCAAGTTCATTATAGATTATAGGCCAAAAGTCGAATGAACGAGTACTTATGTCCTTTTGATTTCTTACAGGTTAGGTTGTTGTTGGCTGGAACAAGCTAGCATTCTGCTATTGTGTGACATCATCACAGTTTTGAAC